GTGCACACTCGCCGGGGCCTCCTGCAGGTGCCTGTGCACACTCGCCGGGGCCTCCTGCAGGTGTGCGTGCACACTCGCTGGGGCCTCCTGCTGGTGCCTGTGCACACTCCCTCTGTGCTCCTGTCTCAGTGTGTATTTGTGAGATGTGGCCCTGTCTGACGCCCTCAGAGGACCCGCCTGTGCTCTTCTGAGGCCCCGCGCTTTTTGTTTTGGTTATTTGGTATGATAGTTTGATTGGTGGTAGCATCTCTAGTCAGGAGGCTGAGGGCCTCTGCTGAGGCTTCAGGTGCTCCCCATGGCCCGGCAGGTGGACAGGGTGGGAAGTAGGGCCCCAAGTAGGGTGCAGGTGACACGGCAGCTTCCACAAGTTTCAGGAGCACCCTGCTGCCCGCAGACGGTCGTCCTCCTTTAGAGCTGTCTGCTCTGTCTTGCACAGTGTCCTCCTTACAGGGAGGAAAGGGAAAGGGGTCGTAGCAATGTGGCCTCTCTGAAGAGTGTGGAGACACAAGTCCTCTGTGTAGAAGCCTTGGTGTTGATGTTTGTCATGAGCAGTGCCATTTACGTTTTCTGTTTACTGCAAAGTGCTGATTGCTACAAAAGACTTTACTGAAGTCTGCAGTGTAATAGAGCTCTTAGACACAAGCGCGGGCATACACAGGTGTACACACAGATACGTGTATACACATGTGTGCACATAAGCACACAGATGCATGTATACACATGCATGCACACACATATGTGTACACACACATGTACACACAGATACGTGTATACACACACGGATCCATGTATACACATGCACACACACGCACACAGATGTGTGCATACACACGTGCACATGTGCACACAGATGCATGTATACACATGCATGCACACATGTACACAGACGTGTGCATACACATAAATGCACATACACACCAGCACAAATATCTCAATGGCCTTGTAAAAATAAGGAAAAATGGATGAACTCATAACTTGGCTTTTTATTTTTCTATTATTTATTTATTTATTTTTGAAACAGAGTCTCACTATGTTGCCCTCAGTACAGTGCTGTGGTGTCACAGCTCACAGCAACCTCAAACTCGGGCTTAAGTGATTCTCTTGCCTCAGCCTCCCAAGTAGCTGGGGCTATAGTTGCCCGCCACACTGCCCGGCTATTTTTTGTTGCAGTTGTC